GGGCCAGGGCCTGTCATTCTGCCCCAGGGTCATCCCTGAGGCCTTCCCTAAGCACCTTCCCCTTGGCATGCTGTGAGATAAAGAAAATATGTATATTGGTCTCTGCCTGTATTCCTGGCACAGAGCACCTGGATCCCTTGTAAATTTCTAAGTGATAAGAACAGCAGGAGCATGTTTTGTTCCATTGCGGTGACTCTGGGTGGGCCCCTGGCTGGGGGCTGGTCAGCAGAAAGTCCAATGATGACCAATGATGGGGCTCGGGATAGTCTTGCCTACGTGCGGAAGCCTCCCTAGAATCCTGACGGTGTGGTGTTCAGAGCATCCGTGTGGGTGAGCACATCCACATATTGGGGGGAGGGGTGATACACCTCGATCCTCAGAAGCGCCTGTGCTCAGAACCCTCCTCCACCTCACCTTGTGTATCTCCGCATCTGCCTGTTCATCTGTATCCTTTACCATATCTTTTAATAAGATGGGAAACGTAAGTATTGCCCTGAGTTCTGTGAGCCACTCTAGCAAATTCATCAAACCTGAAGAGGGGGAGATGGGAACCTCCGATCTGTGGTCAATTGGACAGAAGTTGTGGGCAGCCTGGGGACCTACTCCCTGCGACTGGCATTTGAATGGGTCGGGGTGTCTCGTGGGCCTGAGCCCTTAACCTGTGAGACGTGATGCCACCTCCAGGTAGGCAACTGGTGTCCCCGAGAATTGTTTGGAGGGGGAAAACCCCACACATTTGGTGACCAGAAGGGTCAGTAGTGAGGTGTTCAGCGTAGGGAATAAAGGAGATGTGCGGGAACTATGTGTTTTCTTAATACCCCCTGTGATATGATTTTTCCTTCTCAGATTGGTGATGCTTTGGGTTGACTTTACTCTCAAACCTTTTTCTCTTCTGGGCCTTCTTGCAAGGGTCAGTGGTCAATGTCTTCGTCGTGTTTTTTACAAATTGTGCGGCCCAGCTCCAGGTCCATTAAATATATCATTGTCCAGTTCTGTCAAGGAGAAATTAGAAAACAGAAAGGCAAAGAATCCAGTAGAAAAGATGTCCCTGAGTGCAGCTCCGGCAGCCCTGGACCCTTCCCTGCCGCCCTCCTGATGGCTGCTACCCGGGAGCCACATCACCAGTACATGGCGGTGGGGGAGGGGGGTGGTCACGGGAGGTAGGGTCCCGGCGCTGAGAGCACACGCACAGCACACCTGACGCGAGACCCAGCTCTCGGTCGCATCCGCCAGACACACGGAGGGCATCGCACGGCTCCTTCTAGGGAGGCGGATGGGGGTGCTTGTCCACCAAGGCGCCCTCAGAGCTGCCCTGTCCCTCGGGGGCAGCATCCAGACCAGGACAGGGGGCTGGGGGCTGGATGCTCTGTCTCTCCTGGGGCAGCTGCGGCACCAAAGGGCTCACCTTGTAAACCTTCATCCAGGTGGATGTTTGTGAACCGGGTGCTGCTCTGTGTGTTCATCAGCTTCTCTAAGAGGTTAACACAAGACAGGGTTTCATCCCCTACAGAGAGGTCGTGAAAACTCGGAAGAACTCCAACACGGAGAGGAATGTAGCCAGAAACTTCCATAGGGAGGAACACGGCCCTGACCTGGAATTGTCTAGAAAGCTGGCTTCCTTAGGGGCTCAGGAATGCCTGCAGCTGATGCCACCAGCCACACGCGCGCACGCACACACACACACACACACACACACACACACACACACGCCCAGCCCCTTGCACTGCCGCTGGACCCTGGGCGAAGACGGGCTTAGGGCCTGGCGAGGGTTGGGGGCAGCTGAGTCTGCAGTGATGCTCGAGGGGCCCTCAGCCTCCCCAGGTCCAGGGCTGCAACGCAGCCCAGAAGAGGGCCAGCCGGTCAGGAAATGAGAGCCCTTGAGGGAAGCCAGGGCCGTCTGTGCAGGGAGGGGGCCAGCCTCCAGTCCCTTCAGGAGTGTGTGCAGTGGGGGACCCTCACATCAAAGCCCCGCTGACCTGGGCCGGCTCGGGGCTGGCCATCCGGCAGCCTGGGCCCACGACTGCCACCCACATTTTGCTGGGCTGCCTGACCTCCAGCAGCCTGTCGGCATGCTCTTCCTCATGGTCACTGTTGAACCAAGCCACGGCGAACTCCACAGACACCGCAAAATAATTGTTGTCCTTACTAATGTCTACAAGTTCCTTTTGAATGATCCAGACGTGAATGCCCACAACAGTGAGCCCCAGAAGCAGAGCTGCCTTTGGGAACATGCTGTCCAGAGTCAGCACGAAAGACAGGTGATCGGGGGCAGGGTGGGCGGGCGGCCCTCCGCAGCCCACAGCCCATGCAGCCCTGCGCTCTGGCCTCCCGCTTTGAATATGCCTGTGCCCACCTCCTCCTCTGCATCCCCTGCCTGTCCCTCCTGCCGGCACTAAAGAGGCAGAGCAGGGGGTTACATCCCTGTCTCATCACAGAAAGCCTGGATGCAGGGACACGCACGGAGCAGGCTCTGTCCCCCTTGTTTTCAGAGCTTCATCCTGACAGGGTCCCACTCCACAGGGCCCTGCATCCCCGCTGCTTGCCCTGGGGACTGTGCAGGCAGGGACTGCCGGAGTCCTGTGATTTCCTGGGAGCTCCAGGAAGCCAAGCCTGCCTATGACCTTGGCTGGAGCCAACACCACCAGCTGGGCACAGGGGAGTACGGGGTGTGCAGCCAGCTGTGGAGGTGTCTAGGAGGAGTTGTCCTCATCACTGCTCTGATAGGAATTACTAACCATAGTTGATTTCCTAATTGTCTTTTCTCTTATCGACTTCCAGCTCAAGTCCACTACAGTCAGAGTGTAGTGGAATAACTGAGGACATGGAAAGGAGACGTGACCCATGAGCCGCGCCCCCCCCCAGCAAACTAGGGGCTGGCGAATAAGCCAGAACTGCAAACAGTCCTGATTGCTTTGAGCCCCCCCGGCAAACCGGGGGTGTGCGAATAAGCATTGAGTGCTTTGGGCACTGATCCATGAGACGTCCTCAGTATAATCAGAATGGTGGGAACACAAGGAAATGTCCTTGTGCTACTTCAGTATAATCAGAATAATGGAAACACAAGGCAATGTCCTTGTGCTGCTTTGGCGCTCAAGGACGAAGCACGGCATGTCTTCAAGAAAGCCCATGTTGCGTGCATAATCAATAAAAGCATATGTTGCTGCTTTGGCATTTCTGGAATGTTAAGAAAACAAGTCTTAAAACGTAAACATAGATAGTGCTTCAATAAAAGCTACCACAGCAGGACAGGCAGCGCTGTATTGCCTGAGCGAGCGGCAGCCCTCTACTGCTGTGCTTCGGCACAGTTCATCTCCTGTGATGCGCTTACTTTCGGCCCTGTCATAAGATAAACTACAACATTTGGCGCCGGAACAGGGACCTGAAGGTAAGTTATCGCGTGATCGCGGGACCGAAGGGGAATTTGGTACGCTCAAGAGTAAGCGAAACCTTCGGGAGCAGTAGAGTAACTGTAATGGGGAATTCCCATTCAGTAGAATTTCAATACATTAGACTCCTGAAACAGTTATTACGGAGTTCAGGAGTGAAAGTGAAACCAGAATCTTTTGATGAATTGTTTGCGCTGGTTCGTAAACATTGTTACTGGTTTCAACCTACTGGTCATAACCAGTTGAATTTAAAAGTTTGGAAACAGGTTATGCGAGCCTTAAGAAGAGCTCATCAGCATGGGGACGCTATATCTGTCCGTGTTTGGTCTCTTTGTAAATTAATTTCCCTTGCCCTGGAACCATTACAATCTGAAACTGAAAGTGAAAATGGGGCGCGCCCTCAGCGTCCAAATTCTGCTCCGGATCATTCTGCTGCTTTTCGTACTCTGTCCCGTGAGTCTCCTATAGAGGACCTTCCTGCTCCTCCCCTTGTGTCTGAGACAGGAGAGGATTTTTCAGGTTCCAGTGATGAAGGGGCTTTTTCTGATGATGATAAAGATCGGGAGCAAACAAAATGAGATGCCACTTTCTCAACAGAATGAGATTACTGATATATTTTCAAAGTTAAAAAATTTGATGGTTAAATTGGAAGAAAATAAAAACAATGCTACGGCTCCTTTACATCATGAGCCCTGTCCTACTATTCCTTTGGCTCCTCCTTTAGAATTAGCAGCTTATCCTGTTGGAGCCTCTCGTCAGTTTCGCATTCCTCTAAAACCTGAATCTAATAGACTATTGTTGGAAGAAGAGATGAATAAGGAAGAAAAGCAATATTCTGAATCCTTTTTTGCTTTCCCTATTGTTAGACAAGCTATGCCTGCTAATGATCCATTTCCGAATGGATATGTAAGTGTTGAGTATAACCATCATGATATACAAATTTTTAAAATGCTAAAAGAAGCCATTAATGCGTATGGGATGCATTCTAATTATGTTCAAGGACTTTTGTCTGGGTATGCTACTGAAAACATATTAATTCCTCATGATTGGGAAGCGATTGCCAAAACTGTTCTTGAACCTGGACAATATATGCAGTTTAAGACTTGGTGGAGAGAGGAAGCTGAAAACATGGCAAGGACTAATGCGGCCCATAATCCTCCAGGGCCACTTTTAGATGAATTAATAGGAGCAGGCGCATTTAGTAATCTACAAGCTCAAGCTCAATTTGATGATTTACAAATCATTCAAATACGTATGTGTTGTTTACGAGCATGGTTACGAGTGGAACCCCCCGAAAAAACAACACAATCTTTTACTAAGTAAATGCAAGGGCCTGGTGAGCCTTACGCTGATTTCTTGTCTAGGCTGCATGCAGCCATTCAAAGAGCTGTAGCACAAATAGACATGCAAGATTTATTATTACAATCTTTGGCCTTTAAGAATGCAAATTCTGAATGCCAGAAGGCATTACGGCCTTTACGGGCTGTAAATGCTCCCCTTGAGGAGTATATAAAAGCTTGCCATGATATTGGATCTCCTACTTATCAGGCCAATTTACTTGCAGCTGCCATAAATGAAGGGTTGAAAGATAATCAGATAATCGTACTAAATGTTACAGTTGTGGAAGGTATGGACATGTGACGCGAGATTGTCGAAAAGGGCAAGGCCAGATATCAAAACAGGTTAAGAATGAGCAGCTACCTGGTATGTGTCGCTGGTGTGGTAAAGGACGACACTGGGCTAATAAATGCCGTTCCAAAAGGGGTAAGTTAGGAAATCTTTTGCCTCCACGAGATGATGTCTCGGGAAACGGGAAGCTAGGCCCAACCTGGGGCCGCAACAACAATACGGGAAAAGTGACAGTAAACTCTCAACAGTATCCAGTAAGCAATGGCAGCTTTTATCAGACATTACAGGACAGTCTCAACCTCGGCTCTTAGTTACTGATCTCATACATAATACCAGTGGCAGTGCTGCCGTTGACTTGAGTGCTTCTCGAGATGGTATCCTTACGCCAGCAGGAGAAATACACAAATTAGCTACAGGAGTTTATGGCCCTATACCTACAGAAACCGTGAGACTATTATTAGAACGAAGTAGTTTGACTCTGCAGGATGTAACAGTTCATACTGGAGTTATTGATGAGGATTATAATGGAGAAATTTCTATTATGATTTCTGTTACAAAATCTATAGAATTTAATAAGGGACAAAGAATTGCTCAATTGTTACTGTTACCGTATGTAAAACAAGCAGCCGCCCCAGTAAAGCCTACTGGGGGGTTCGGCAGCACGGGAAAAAATGTTTTTTGGCAATCCTTTATCAACGACCAACGTCCTCAATTAACGCTTACTTTTAACAATAATGTGAAATTTACAGGCCTTGTTGATACGGGAGCTGATGTGTCTATAATAAAACAGTCTGAATGGCCTTCATATTGGCCTTTAAAAAAGATGGAAGCTACTTTTACAAAAATAAAAACATTACATATGGTTTGACACAATAAAAAATTGAGATGTAAAGGCCCGGAAGGACAAAAAGCCATGTTACAACCATATGTGGCCAATATTAAAATTAATTTATGGGAAAGAGATATACTACAACAATAGAAAACCTCTATCTCCATACCAACAATTTCCCCTAAAACAATACAAATGATGTCAAACATAAAATGTGATTATTCACAGTTAAATGCTACTAAACCCCAATATGTAACTAAAACAGGAAAAGATTATACTGGGCTTGGATATCCAAATTTAGTGTAGGGGCCACTGCTCAAAAATTTGCATTACCATTAAAATGGTTAAAAGATACCCCTATATGGACAGAGCAGTGGCCCTTAACTCAAGAAAAATTACAAACATTACACCAATTAATACAAAAACAATTAATAACAGGACATATTAAAGTATCCACTAGCCCTTAAAACTCACCTGTTTTTGTAATAAAAAAAAATCAAAAAAATGGAAAATGTTGACAGATTTACGAAAAATTAATGAGATTATTCAACCTATGCGGGCATTGCAACCTGGAATTCCATCTGCTGCAATGCTCCCTCGCAATTGGGAACTTATAATTATAGATTTAAAAGACTGGTTTTTTACTATACCATTACAATCTCAAGATTGTGAAAAATTTACATTTACTGTACCAGCCCTAAATCAAAAAGATCCGGCTCAGAGATTTCAATAAAAAGTTCTCCCTCAGGGGATGTTAAATAGTCCAACTATGTGCCAATTTTTTGTTAATCAACCTTTGGAGGATTTACGTCACATATATCCTGAGACACGTATTCTTCATTATATGGATGACATTCTATTTGCTCATTCTCATCAGCAAATGTTACAACAGATGTTACAACAAGCAGAGTTGAAATTTTAAAAATGGGGTTTACAAATAGCTCCTGAAAAACTTCAAAAATGTGCTTCCTGGCAATATCTTAAACAAATTGTAACCAATACTCAAATTATTCCTCAGAAAGTACAAATTAGACGAGATTCTCTTGTAACATTAAATGATTTTCAAAAATTACTAGGAGATATTAATTGGTTACGTCCTAGCCTAGGAATTCCTACTTATAAGTTACAAAATTTATTTCACACCTTGGAAGGCGATCCAGCATTGAATAGTCACCGTGAACTTTCTCCCCAGGCTGAACAAGAACTTAAATGGATAGAAAAACATATACATGATGCACAGTTGGATCGGATCGAGTCTCTGGATCATTTACGACTTATTGTATTTCATACTCCTCATTCCCCTACTGGATTACTACAACAACAAGATAATCTCATAGAGTGGGTATTTTTAGCTCATAAAGCTCAAAAGAAATTACAATCTTATGTACAAAAAATAGCTGATATTCTTATTAAAGGTAGGTTACGATTAAGGCAATTATGTGGTCAGGACCCACATGAACTTATAGTTCCTTTTTCAAACAAAGAGATACAAACTCTTTTTCAACTAGAGGATAACTGGCAAATTGCCTGTGCTCATTATATAGGTAAAATACGTAATCATTATCCTTCTGATAAACGTTTCCAATTTTTGAAGAAGACTAATTGGATTTTGAAAAAAATAGTTCAGTCAGATCCTGTTATAGGACCAACCTTTTTTACTGATGCCAATAAAACGAGAAGAGCAAGATATGCTAACAGTCATGATCAAAAGGCGTTACAATCTCCATATGCTTCAGTTCAAAAAGCAAAACTATTTGCTGTAATACTATTGTTACAAGATTATCCAATTGCTCTTAATATAATTACAGACTCTCAGTATGTGGAATTTACAGTTAAAAATATTGAGACCGCTTTTATCCCAAATAATGGATCAGAACTGCACTCTTTATTTTTGCAAATACAACATATAATTAGACTACGTACTGCACCACTTTATATTACTCATAATCGTGCTCATACTCATTTACCCGGCCCATTGGTAGATGGAAATGATTTTATTGATACTTTAGTGGGTACCGTACAATTAGCTACAGCAGAACATCATAGATATCATACTAATGCCAGAAAATTGAAAAATAAATTTAATCTTACATGGAAGCAAGCAAAAACTATTCTCCGTACATGCCCGCAATGTGCTGCCATTAATCAACCTTGTTTGAATATTGGAGTTAACCCTAAAGGCTTATCTGCTAATGCTATCTGGCAAATGGATGTAACTCAATATCCTGGTTTTGGAAAGTTAAAATATATTCATCATTCTGTAGACACCTACTCTCATTTTTCATGGGCAACTCCATTATCTTCTGAAAAAGCTGATGCTGTAATAACTCATTTATTAGAAGCTTTTGCTGTTACGGGAATTCCCGACAGCATAAAAACCGATAATGCTTCTGCATATCACTCTCAAAAATGTCAGACTTTTTTTGCCACACATAATATACGGCATGTTACAGGTATCCCAGGAAACAGTACGGGACAAGCGGTTACTGAACGACAAAACCGCACTTTGAAAGAAATGCTTATAAAACAAAAAGGGGGAGATGAGGTACAAAGTCCTAGGAAAAGAATACATATTGCTTTATTTACTCTTAATTTTTTGAATCACGGAGAAGATGATTTTAGTGCAGCTGACAGACATTGGACAAAAATAAGTACATGAGAACTTAGGCAACCTGTTTTTACATTACATGAAAATACTAACACTTGGGAACCTGCCGAGGTTCTTCGCTGGGGCCGGGGATATGCTTTTGTTTCTGCAGGAGCTGAATCCTATTGGGTGCCGGCTAAGAAGATAAAGCTTCGGGATGGCAACTAAGCGTAGCTTTGATGTGACGGAAATGACGAAGGGATTTGCGGAGATGGATTTGAGCAAGAGAGCATCCCGTGCGCCATTGGATCGAACAAAGAGGGCGTCTCCATTGACCTGGGGGCAAGTGAAAAAGTTTGCAGGCACTGCCGAAAATCTTGTTATTTCGCAGGGTAAACCCCTCAATAGCACCAATCTTTTTGTGGCCATGATGGCAGTGTTGTCTGCACAGGTAATAAGCATATCAGCCAATGAGATAAATTGTACTAACCATACTTATCGGACTTATATTCCTAACCCCCCTCTTAATATGGGGGTTACCTGGTGGGATGCCCCAATTCTTGTATATGTAAATGAGTCTGGATGGTTGCGTGGTCCTTTTGATGATAGAGGCCCTTTGAAGCCAGAAGAAGAAGGAAGGATAACAGAGAATTACACGGTGGGTGTTAATGGACCTCCTATTTGTATGGGAAAGGGAGATCATTGCCTTAAAATGAATTATCAGGCATGGTTAAGTGTTGTCAAAAATGAAATCAGATATCATGGGTTATATCCTTTGAGTGCTTATAGTTTTAAAAGTTCTCATTCCACTCTTAATGAGAACGTTTCCGCACCTTACTTGCCTCCATGCCAGCTGCCTCTTGTGGATCGATTATCAGATTGGGTCCATTGGACCCGACGCTGAGGAGAAGTGGCTCGGGTTCTTGTTAATACTACTTGGGGAAGCGTCATTGATTGGAGCCCTTTTGGCTCCGCCCGAGGAAAAAGGGGTCTGAAGAATTTACACTGGCATAGAGAGGATAACACTATTTATAGCAATACTATTAATGGTACCATAGTATGACATGCTGGAGGGTTTTCTCCTCCAGGTCCTCATTTAAATGGATATCCTATCCAAAAGGACTTGTGGAAGCTTATGGCAACTTTGAAAAAGATTAATGCTTGGGTAGGACATATGGTTAACAAATCTGGAAATCATAGTTTGACTTTTCATAAAAATGTTACTCGGTGTACTCGTAGTTGTGTAAAATTACCTTATATATTGTTAAAGGAACCAGCTGTATGGAATGAGACTCAAGGTATTATAATGTGTAAAAATTGCTCTCTGTATACCTGCGTTAACGCTAGTATATCTTTTAACATATCTACTGAAAGTTTGTATATCTTACGAGCTCGGACAGGTCTTTGGCTTCCTGTCAGTCTTGGAAGGGAACGGCAAGAATCTCTTCCTATGGCTGTTTTGCAATATTTAGCTGATGCATTAAAAAGAAGTAAAAGATTTGTAGGAATGTTGATTGCAGCTGTCATGGGTAGTATAGCCATAACAGCTACTGCTGCAGTAGCTGGAGTTGCTTTAGAACAATCTATTCAGACCGTTGATTATATAACTGATTGGCATAAAAATTCTGAAATGCTTTGGTCCTCTCAACGACAAATTGATTCGGAAATACATTCGGAAATAGCAGACTTACAACAAGCTGTGGTTATGTTGGGGGACCAACTTGTAAATTTACAAAGACAAATGAAGCTACGTTGTGACTGGAATCAAAGTGCCTTTTGTGTCACTTCAGTCCCATATAATCAGTCTGCATTTCCCTGGGCAACAATAAAAAAGTATTTATTACATCACAAAAATTTGACAGAAGAAATTGTGAATTTACAAGGGAAAATTCAACAAACTTTTCAGAAGAAATTACAACGACTTAATTTGCAAGAAATAGGGTCTGGAATTACTGAAGGATTTAATAATTTAAATCCCATGTCTAGATTGCATGCTTTATTTGGTTCTACTACAGGATTGCTAATGCTCATTGTAATAATAATCATATGTTTAATTGTAGTCCAACGACGAGTAAAAGCTACCTGCCATGCAACGTCACAACAAGCTGCCGTGTTCTCCTTGATGCTGCATAAGCTGCAAAACGAAAAGGGGGAAACGTAGTGGAATAACTGAGGACATGGAAAGGAGACGTGACCCATGAGCCACCCCCCCCCCCCCAGCAAACTGGGGGCTGGCGAATAAGCCAGAACTGCAAACAGTCCTGATTGCTTTGAGCCCCGCCCCCCCGCGGCAAACCGGGGGTGTGCGAATAAGCATTGAGTGCTTTGGGCACTGATCCATGAGACGTCCTCAGTATAATCAGAACAGTGGGAATGCAAGGAAATGTCCTTGTGCTACTTCAGTATAATCAGAATAATGGAAACACAAGGCAATGTCCTTGTGCTGCTTTTGCGCTCAAGGACGAAGCACAGCATGTTTTCAAGAAAGCCCACTGTTGCGTGTATAATCAATAAAAGCATATGTTGCTGCTTTGGCATTTCTGGAATGTTAAGAAAACAAGTCTTAAGATGTAAACATAGATAATGCTTCAATAAAAGCTACCACAGCAGGACAGGCGGCGCTGTATTGCCTGAGCGAGCGGCAGCCCTCTACTGCTGTGCTTCGGCACAATTCATCTCGTGTGATGAGCTTGCTTTCGGCCCTGTCATAAGAAAAACTACAACATCAGAGAATGTTCTTTCTATTATGTCTCTTCTCTGAAATTTGTTGAGATTTGTTTTATGGCCAATATTCCACAGTTTCTTTTCTTTTCTTTTTTTTTTTGATGTAGACCATTTTTAAAGTCTTCAGTGTATTTATTACAATACCGCTTCTGTTTTAGGTTTTGTTTTTTTGGCGGCAAGGCACATGGGATCTTAGCTCCCTGACCAGGGATTGAACCCACACTCCCCGCATTGGAAGGCGAAGTCTTAGCCACTGGACCACCAGGGAAGTCCCCACAGGTTCTTGAAAAGACTGTGTGTTCTGCATTTTTCAGATGCAGAGTTAGGTATTGACATAACTCAGGTCGCCCATGTGACCAAACCTTCCACATATTGACTTCTTTACTTTGCTTTGTTTTATTGAGTTTCCTTTGGTTTGGGTTTGGGTTTTGGTCTGTTGTTCTGTCCGTTTCTGAGAGATGCATTAAAGTCTCTCACTGTGATTATGATTGTAGATTTGTCTGGTCTTCTTTTCTCATAATTCTTGCTGTATATATTTGAGACTCTGTCATTAAGTGATTGTACAAACAGAACTGTTAGGCCATTTTATCCTCATCAGTCACACCTTTGCATCCCAGTGATGCTGTTGCTCTAGAATCAGCTTTGTCTGACATCAGAGTAGCCACATCAGCAACGTTCTCATTAGCGTTTCCATTATGTATCTTTATCCATCTTTTTACTCGAAGATGGTACCTTAATAATTAAGATGTGTCTGTGTGGGGCTTCCCTGGTGGCGCAGTGGTTGAGAGTCCGCCTGCCGATGCAGGGGACACGGGTTCGTGCCCCGGTCTGGGAAGATTCCACATGCCGCGGAGCGACTGGGCCCGTGAGGCATGGCCGCTGAGCCTGCGCGTCCGGAGCCTGTGCTCCGCAACGGGAGAGGCCACAGCAGTGAGAGGCCCATGTACCGCAAAAAAAAAAAAATGTGTCTTTGTAAACAGCATGTAGGTTTTTAAATCAGTCTAACATTCTTTTATTTGGGTGATTTAATCCCATTTGCGATAACTCCTATTACTGATCATTATCAGTATATTCAGGTTCAAATCTACCATATTACTGTGTGTTTTCTCTTCATATTGGTTGTCTCTGTTCCTTCTTTTCTACTTTCTTGTGTTCTCTTGCATTATTCATGGTCTTTTCATTGTTCCATTTCTTCCTCCCAATGGCTTTATTTGCCCTTATTTCTCTTCTCTCAGTGGTGACTCAAGCAGTTGTAATGAGCACCACTGACTTAGTTGAATCTACTGTAAATTAGTACCTTTACCATTTCAAGGATGGCGGGAACACTATTGCTCTTAACCCCACTTCTGCCTTGTGTGTTATTGTCATATTTGAAAGTCCATAGAACAATATGATTGTTGCCTTACACATTTGCTATTCACTTGGACTTAGCAACATACCTACCCTTCTGCTGGGCATCATTCCCTCAACATAACTTTTCTTCCAGAGGGTTCATTTCCCCTCCCCCTAAATAACTCTCTTAAGGATTTTGGGGGGTTTGAGATTCTTTTAAAAATGAAACCTACTTTTGAAAACACAGCAGGACTGAGACACAGCGATCCCCTCAGTATGTGGTTATGGGTCAGAAGAGGGGAGGCGAGCCCAGCAGGATGGGGCTGTCCCCGCACTGGGGGACACCAACTGCAACGGAGGGTGTGCCTGGGCAGTCCTGGGACCACCACCCCTGATCTAGCAACGGGAACACACCTTGCTGCTTCTGACACGGAATCCCACGTTGTTGCAGCTGGAGGTGACTTAAACACAGACCAGCGCCACCTCCACGAGGAGGGGAGCAGAGCTCCGTGGGAGCGTTTCTGGCTGAAGTCCCCAGGCCATCAGAGGGGGCCCTAAGCAGAGCTTCAGGCCCGCCTTCCTCAGGCAGGTGGAGGCCCCATGGTGCTGGTGGTGCTCAGGGCGCACAGTGAGAGCGGTGGAGGGAAGCCAGTGCGGGGCTACTGGCGAGTAGGTGACACTGGCTCTGTTCCTCTAGGGCTCCTGGGAGACAATACAGAGTGTGTGCCTCGAAGGGGCCCACCTGAGGGGGGTATCGAGTCTCCAGCTCCTGTCTGTCTTGTATAGAGGCTGCTCCCACCGCCTGCCGCTTTGGCCTGTGCCCACCCGTGGGCACACGTGCCCGCAGCCAGAGAAGCCTCAGGCAAAGCACAGGGAACATGGTAGGAGGCCCAGTTCTGCTGGGAGGCACGTCGGGGCCCTCTGCTGCTCTGTCCCCTGGGGGAGGCCCTGTCCCCCTCCTGGCAATGCCCTGGGCCAGGAGGGCTGCTCTGGTCCAGACTCAGGTCCTTGCTCCAGCCCCTGTGAGGGGAGAATGGGGAGAATGGGGGCTTTCTGGAAGTGCTCTGGGGAGGGCTGGCACATACCTCCTGATGCCCCATTATTACCGGGGGCGGAGCAGGCGTGCCCATCCCCGTGTGTGTAGCTGGGGCTGAGCCGACAGACAGCTCTGGGAGAAGCCCTCTAGGAGCAGGATGGGGAGCTCGCAAGCACAGGGACAGTGGGAGAAGTCCTGTCTTTTCTCTCCTTAGTCCTCTCCTGCCCCAGCCCCTGCGCGATCCATGGCAGTAGCCCTGACAGCAGAACAGGGACGGCAGATACTGCAGCCACATAAACATTGGTGGGGGGGAGCCTCCCTCTTTGATCAGAGGAGCTGTGGTTCTAAGAGGGTGGGGTAAACCTCCACTGCTTTTTCCCATCTCTGTCCTCCTGCGCTGTGGCCCCAGCATTGGGTGTAGATGTGGGCCTGCAAAGCTGAGCGACGTGAGGAAGATCCGGGGAACCAGAAAGGACCAGAGGGATCATAGGAGCTCAGGAAAGTGAACCCTGAACAGCACAAGTGTGGGTATAACCCTAATGGCACACGAAAGATGTGAACTGAAGGAAGGGACAGACCACCACCCAGCCAGCCTAGCCTCTGGAAGACACACGTGCACAGACCCAAAGAGCCCTGCAGAGGGTTGACACAGAGCTGACCTGACGGTGAAATCACAGCCCCCAGAAGGCTGAGCAGAATTTGCACCCTGAATGCAGCTGGTTGAATCACTTGCGGAAACAAAAATACCAACATTCCCCAAAGAACATAAATAAGATACAGAGTCTCATAACACAGTTTTCAAAACACCCAGGATACAACCCAAGATTACTTAGCATATGAAGAATCAGGAAAATCTCAGCTCTCCCGGAAAAAGACAATCAACAGATGCTGATGCTGAGATAACTCAGATGTTGCAAATATCTGACAAAGACTTTAAAGCAGCTGTTATCAAAAGGTTCCTAGTAAGGGTAAACACTCTTCAAAGATTGGAAAGGTAGGAACTATTCGTAAGAAATAGAAGATATCTGTACAAACCAGATGGATATTTTACTGATATCCTGCAAAAATACAAAAACCAAAATAAAAATCTCATTGGATGAACTCAAGAGCAGACTGAAGATGTCAGAGAAAAGGGCCTGTGAACTTGAAGATGGATCAATAGAAATTATCCGCTATGAACACTAAGGAGGAAGAAAACATTAAAAAGCATGACTAGAGCTTCAGAAGCCTATGGGACAATATCAGAAAGTCTTTCATGTCATTGGACTCCCAGAGGGAGAGGAGAAAGTGTTGTGCCGGAAGAAGAAGAAGGAGGAAGAGGAAGAGAAGGGGGGAGAGGGAGGGGAGAAGGAGGAAGGAGAAGACGGAGAAGAAGGGGAAGAGATAATGGCTGAGACTTTCCCAAATTTGTCGAAAACACAGATTTAAGAAGCTCGGAGAACCCCAAAACAAGTAAATTCCAAGAAATCCACATCAGAGCACATCATACTCAAACTACTGAAAACTAAAGACAAAGGAAAAAAACCTGAGAGCCATTAGAGAAAAGACATAATTTACAGAAGAACAAAGATTTGAAGGACTGCAGATTTCTCACCAGGAACACAGAGGCTAGAAGGAAGTAGAATATGATTTTGAATTCTGAAAGACAAGAACGGCCAAACCTGAATTCTATATTTAGGGAAAATATAATGGTGGTATAAAGATGTTACCAGATGAGGAAAGGTTAAAGTATTTCATTGCCAGCAGACCTGCTATAAAAGAAGGGCTAAGAGAATTCTTTTTTTTTTTTTTTTTTGCGGTACGCGGGCCTCTCACTGTTGTGGCCTCTCCCGCTGCGGAGCACAGGCTCTGGACGCGCAGGCTCAGCAGCCATGGCTCACGGGCCCAGCCGCTCCGTGGCATATGGGATCCTCCCGGACCGGGGCACGACCCCGCGTCCCCTGCATCGGCAGGCGGACTCTCAACCACTGCGCCACCAGGGAAGCCCAGGAATTCTTTAACAGAGAGAAATTTTCTTGGTTCTTCATATGCTGAATAATCTTGGATTGTATCCGGGACATTTGAAAATTGTGTTATGAGACTATATCTTACTTACATCCTATAGGGAATGTTCATATTTTT